CCCCCCCCCCCCCCCCCCCCCCGTTTAAAAAAGAAGAAAGAAAAAACTAAAAAAAAACAAAATGCCACTGGTTACATGGCCCTAAAATGACCTTTTCAACAAGGATTTGCTTTGAGTTATCAAGTAAGCCCATTTTAGAAGATCGATTGGCCTTTGGAAGTCCAGTTTACAATATGTCCTTTTTCTTGTTCTTCTTTTCTCCGCTGTAATCCATTTCTCTACTTGCTCTCTTTTGTTTTTTCTGGTTTTGGAGAATTTAAGCTTTTGTTTGTTAAACTAGTTTTGGTCCCTGTGCCGAGGATCATTTAACAATCACAAAGGAGGCTTAAATTTAGGGACAATTGTCTAAGAGACACAATCACTTCAAAAAAAGATTAGTCCATGTCTCCGAGTCATGTAACATATATTATTGATGATGGATTATCCCCCTTGGATCATATTGCTGGCTTTTTCCCTCTCATAGTCCACTGTTCTCTTCCTTTGTTCCTTAGTCGCATGTAGGAGTAACTATGGTGCAACCATCAATGGTTTGAGAAAAGTTGTTTTGTTGCTCTATGTTTTAAATGGCAGATGCATACAGCTGACTGTGCCACATATCGGTTTAAGTGCTGAATGCATGAGTTTGCTGTTCCTTTATATTCATGGAACTTTTTTACTTACTAATTTGTATTACCTTCAATTCGTTGTATTTGATTTCCTTCAAATACATGCTTTTTTCCAGCTCAAACCAAAAGTGGTGTATTTTAGTTGTTAAGTATGTTCATGTCTCACTCAATGGGGCAAGACCTGAGGATGAACCATTTCTCTTTTTTGGCAGGGTGTTTCGAGAGCATTAGTTGATAATTCGAGAACCTTAAGATTGCCAAACCATTTGCATGAAAGGCTGAGTTTAATTCGGAATGCAAAGTCCAAACTGGAAGAGAAAGGAATAATGCCCTCGATTGATGTAAGTCCAACTACTCAATATGTTGTTTAATGAAAAGAATTACTTGCTCTTTGTTCATCCCAGAACATTCTTAACCCATAATTATCATAGTGATGCCAAATCAAGATCAGGATTTATATTGTTTTGCATTGTTATATCCTAGTTTCATAGGCCCTTGTGTTCTATTGACTAGTCTTCTCCTTTGATGTTTCAGAGAATAGCAGAATGTCTAAACATGTCACAAAAGAAAGTTAGGAATGCCACCGAGGTACCAAATATGGGAGATTCTTATTTTAACTATATATTCTGCCTTAATTGTCCTTATTATCTTCATGCTCAATGTCTAAGATCCCTCCTCGCAGGCAATCAGCAAGGTCTTCTCCCTTGATAGGGAAGCATTCCCTTCATTAAATGGTCTTCCAGGAGAAACACTTCATAGTGTAAGTCTAATTCTACCAACTTGACTCTACTAAATTAACATGCTACCATTGGTGAGAAAATAAGTGTAATCATCTCATCCTACCTTTTTTCATTGATTCTCTTTTTTTCTCTCTCCAGTATATTGCAGATAATCGTCTCGAAAACAACCCATGGCATGGAGTTGATGAATGGGCACTCAAGGTAATAAGAATGAAGCAACATCTTAAAATTTGCACACTTAAAATGGTGGATTTTGACAGAAAACTGATTTAGCTTACCAGAGAAACAAGCTATCTCTCACTACGGAGTGGATGGATTATAAAGAGCAATGTTAAACAATCAAACAAAGCTTCACCCAGTTTACTATCTTCTGAAATATATTTTGTGTGTAGCATGCCTTGTTCTAGAAGGATCTAACATTGGCTGCTCTTTGTTGGGAAAAGAAAACGTATCTAAAATTCTTTTTGTTGCTTAACACCATTTTTCCTTCTTGGTTCAAGCAAAAGGGTCAGGAAGAAAAACATGTGGTGCATAGGGTAGATGCTGAGTCACTAAAGGATAATTTCCCCAGAACCTTGGCTCCTGTGGGACATCCATGATATCCTATGTGCATGGAATCCTAATATCAGACTATGGCTCTTACAAGGAATGTGACTCGTGCCTTGGGAGTTGGCTTAAGATCTAAAACGTGCTTTATGCATATACTTTCTTGTTACACGTGTTTATGAATTAGCAAAACATAGATAGGTTTTCAAGAAGACGTAGAGCATTAGCGTCTCTCATAATCTTTTGGTGGTGAACGTGGGCGGAGTCACCCTTGGCCCAGGGTGGTTCCTGGCCTATCCTCAAATATTTTGAAAAAACTATACTTATATATGTTTTTATATACATGTATTAAACACCCTCATATATATGTTCTAGTGCCCACCCTATTACTTCCATATAGATCTATACCTAAATGGCTATGGGCACATTATGGACACCATTCATACAGGTTCAAATTTTGAACACACTGGAATCATTTTAAAATTTCTAATAAAATTACCCGACGGTCGAAGATTTTTTATTTTTATTTTTTGAGAATATAAGTTGTGTTTGGTTTGTAACTGAATGTTTAGTATTTTTTAATTGTGTTAGGGTCTCTAAGATTCAATTGATTTGCATATTTTTTGCCTTTTTTGTTTTTTGTTCTTAATCAAACGTGACATTACTTGGAATTTGCATGTAAATTGGCCTTTGTTTGCTTGCAATCGGGCTCTGTAAATAAATATCAGCCTATCAACTTGCTTTTATCTATGTAACTGCAGCATGTAATGAAGGGCCCACCCTAAGTTAAATTCCTGGCTCCACCCCTGTTTTCAACATTGTACTGACTTGCTCTTGTATGCCAATTGTTTACTTAGATTATTGTTTTTCTTGTTTTGCTAAACTATTGCACTGTGGCAAAGCAATTGACCCTTTTAGTAAATAATCCTGCAGGATGAAGTGAACAAGCTCATTAGTACGACACTAAGGGAACGGGAGAGAGATATTATTCGTCTCTACTATGGTCTGGACAATGAATGTCTTACTTGGGAGGATATCAGTAGACGGTGTGAATCCATATATTACTGCACACTTATTCATAATAGGCATGGTTAAATGATACAAATGTTGGCCTCAAAGGGGCAGTTTTAGTTACCTCTTTTTAAGAATGCTTTGAGTTGTTTTTATCATTCCTTTTCGTTAAAGCTATGGCCACTTATATTTTCATGTGTGTGTGTGTGTGACTCTGGTCCTCAATNTATTCATAATAGGCATGGTTAAATGATACAAATGTTGGCCTCAAAGGGGCAGTTTTAGTTACCTCTTTTTAAGAATGCTTTGAGTTGTTTTTATCATTCCTTTTCGTTAAAGCTATGGCCACTTATATTTTCATGTGTGTGTGTGTGTAACTCTGGTCCTCAGTCCGTAACAACCTTTCTTCATGGTGTTGAGATGATTCAAATAGATACATACAGAAGTTAGGAAACTATGTTGAACATTCGAGGGTTCTAAGTAGTGTTTTAAGCATGGATACAAAAAGACTAAACCACATATTCGATTGAAATTGTGTGTCAGTGATAGATTGTAAAGTCCTATTTTTCTTTCCTTTTTCACAGAAATGCTACTTTCTGTACAAAATGATTCGTTTCAATAAAGCTACGCATTTTCCAATTTCTGTTGCCTTAACAAAGTTATTCTATGTGACCTTTTCAGGATAGGTTTGTCCAGAGAAAGAGTTAGGCAGGTTGGCCTTGTTGCATTGGAGAAACTAAAACATGCTGCTAGAAAAAGAAGACTAGAGGCTATGCTGGTGAAACATTAATTTGGTATTTTTGCTGTAACAGCATTGTTGCCTGTATATATAAAGAAAAGATATGTTCCATCTCCCAATTGTTTTTTGATCATGAATAATTATAGATAGTAATGTAAAAGGATCTCTGAAGTCCACGAGGCAAGTGAAGCACACTACTTGAGAGTTTTTAAGTTGCAGCAAACATTTTTATGTATCGTATATTTATAGAAAATAGTTTCTTGATGAGAATCACCTTTTTTATCTTTTCATTTACATTTTTCTTTTCCTTTCTGTGGGGAATTATTCTGTTAATTATTTAACTCTCTCCAAACTACGCAATAGCGAAAGCCTCATGGAGTGACCTACCCATTCTATTATATGATAACGTTGTGCACACTCGTAGAAAGATATACCCTTGCACAAGCACACACCTACTCTCACATGACCTAGTTTGAACTTAAGTCGTACTTCAAGTGTGATGACATGACATTTTGGGGATCCCATTAAGCCGGTTGGCAGCTCCTCCATAGAGGCAATAAATCAATAGCTACTCTCCCCTTAAGTCGTGCAATTACTAGGTTTAGGGAAGATCAGGTGGTTCCTCGGGACCTAGCTTCATAATGATTCCCTTGTTTGGGAGACTAAGCATTTAATGTACATTCCCTCAACATTTAATGATCTTTGTCAGGCATTCATTGAGTTGCGAAGAACATTCCTTGGACTGGCTCCGAGTATTAAATACAGACGCCACTGAGCAGTCCACATCAACTAGGGTCATACCTTTATCTGAATTTTTTGATATTCGACATGTGACTCAATATGACGTGTTTGCACAAGTAATCATTCCCTGCAGTAGCAATATGTAGCATCGTGGGGTTCACATACCTGCCCAGTGTTGAATGCTTGGGTCCGAGATCACCTATTTTTCCATAGCCCCAAGGGCCTGTTTCCTCAGGACCATGCACTTCCTTAGTGCAGTACTGTTCATATCCACGTGTCACGTCTTGATACAATTGTCATTTCGTGTCATGTCAACTGCCCCAACCTTCAATTTCTCATGCATGGGTCACGTGGCATTAGGGAATTGAAGACGACTGATGCACGTCACTTCGTGGGAGTCGTTATACGTACGTCTATCACCCATTTTTAAAATTGCATTTAATGCACCATTCCTCTCGATAACCAATGCCTTGAAAGGGTTATAAATAAGAGGGGGTTTCCCACACTTTGGCCCCACTTAAATCCTTGAAGCTTAAAAGATTTTAGTAAGATCGAGCACTCCTTGTTTGTAGAAGACAACCTGAGCGTCAATTTTAGTAAGTACGTTCAGTTNCTCCACCCCTGTTTTCAACATTGTACTGACTTGCTCTTGTATGCCAATTGTTTACTTAGATTATTGTTTTTCTTGTTTTGCTAAACTATTGCACTGTGGCAAAGCAATTGACCCTTTTAGTAAATAATCCTGCAGGATGAAGTGAACAAGCTCATTAGTACGACACTAAGGGAACGGGAGAGAGATATTATTCGTCTCTACTATGGTCTGGACAATGAATGTCTTACTTGGGAGGATATCAGTAGACGGTGTGAATCCATATATTACTGCACACTTATTCATAATAGGCATGGTTAAATGATACAAATGTTGGCCTCAAAGGGGCAGTTTTAGTTACCTCTTTTTAAGAATGCTTTGAGTTGTTTTTATCATTCCTTTTCGTTAAAGCTATGGCCACTTATATTTTCATGTGTGTGTGTGTGTAACTCTGGTCCTCAGTCCGTAACAACCTTTCTTCATGGTGTTGAGATGATTCAAATAGATACATACAGAAGTTAGGAAACTATGTTGAACATTCGAGGGTTCTAAGTAGTGTTTTAAGCATGGATACAAAAAGACTAAACCACATATTCGATTGAAATTGTGTGTCAGTGATAGATTGTAAAGTCCTATTTTTCTTTCCTTTTTCACAGAAATGCTACTTTCTGTACAAAATGATTCGTTTCAATAAAGCTACGCATTTTCCAATTTCTGTTGCCTTAACAAAGTTATTCTATGTGACCTTTTCAGGATAGGTTTGTCCAGAGAAAGAGTTAGGCAGGTTGGCCTTGTTGCATTGGAGAAACTAAAACATGCTGCTAGAAAAAGAAGACTAGAGGCTATGCTGGTGAAACATTAATTTGGTATTTTTGCTGTAACAGCATTGTTGCCTGTATATATAAAGAAAAGATATGTTCCATCTCCCAATTGTTTTTTGATCATGAATAATTATAGATAGTAATGTAAAAGGATCTCTGAAGTCCACGAGGCAAGTGAAGCACACTACTTGAGAGTTTTTAAGTTGCAGCAAACATTTTTATGTATCGTATATTTATAGAAAATAGTTTCTTGATGAGAATCACCTTTTTTATCTTTTCATTTACATTTTTCTTTTCCTTTCTGTGGGGAATTATTCTGTTAATTATTTAACTCTCTCCAAACTACGCAATAGCGAAAGCCTCATGGAGTGACCTACCCATTCTATTATATGATAACGTTGTGCACACTCGTAGAAAGATATACCCTTGCACAAGCACACACCTACTCTCACATGACCTAGTTTGAACTTAAGTCGTACTTCAAGTGTGATGACATGACATTTTGGGGATCCCATTAAGCCGGTTGGCAGCTCCTCCATAGAGGCAATAAATCAATAGCTACTCTCCCCTTAAGTCGTGCAATTACTAGGTTTAGGGAAGATCAGGTGGTTCCTCGGGACCTAGCTTCATAATGATTCCCTTGTTTGGGAGACTAAGCATTTAATGTACATTCCCTCAACATTTAATGATCTTTGTCGGGCATTCATTGAGTTGCGAAGAACATTCCTTGGACTGGCTCCGAGTATTAAATGCAGACGCCACTGAGCAGTCCACATCAACTAGGGTCATACCTTTATCTGAATTTTTTGATATTCGACATGTGACTCAATATGACGTGTTTGCACAAGTAATCATTCCCTGCAGTAGCAATATGTAGCATCGTGGGGTTCACATACCTGCCCAGTGTTGAATGCTTGGGTCCGAGATCACCTATTTTTCCATAGCCCCAAGGGCCTGTTTCCTCAGGACCATGCACTTCCTTAGTGCAGTACTGTTCATATCCACGTGTCACGTCTTGATACAATTGTCATTTCGTGTCATGTCAACTGCCCCAACCTTCAATTTCTCATGCATGGGTCACGTGGCATTAGGGAATTGAAGACGACTGATGCACGTCACTTCGTGGGAGCCATTATACGTACGTCTATCACCCATTTTTAAAATTGCATTTAATGCACCATTCCTCTCGATAATCAATGCCTTGAAAGGGTTATAAATAAGAGGGGGTTTCCCACACTTTGGCCCCACTTAAATCCTTGAAGCTTAAAAGACTTTAGTAAGATCGAGCACTCCTTGTTTGTAGAAGACAACCTGAGCGTCAATTTTAGTAAGTACGTTCAGTTCTTCATCTTCATCTTCATCTTCCTTTTCTTTCTACTTTTCTTTCCCCTCTCCAATGGTAAGAATTTTTGGACGAGATAGGCCGAGAACTGAAGATAGGTCTAGGACCACATAAGCTAAGCCCAAAAAAACTCAAGTAGACAATGACAAACGAATTGCCTATTGTAGGCTTTTGGAAAGGGCTAGACTATATCCACTTCCCACTGAACAAAAGGTCACGGACTGGTAGGGGTGTTCACCCTACCCTATAAGTAAAAAATATAGTCTTTTGTCTTTCTATTCGATACTTTGTAGAAAAATTTTTTCTTGACCAAACGTACCTGATCAGGTGTAGTATTCCTACCCGACTTCCTACCCGATTAATCGGGTAGGAAGTCAGGTAAATACTTTTGTAGCCATTAATTTTTGGATCATTTTAACAATTAAATTAAATAACATGCACCAATTTAACAACACAATAAATCAATAACACTAAAAGCTAAAATAACTACAACAACAATTACAATAAAACATAAGAAAACATGAACAAAAATTCATCATAATTGTTACACAAATACAATAACAATTATTTTAAGTTTAAACCATATGAAACACATTAAAATCATAACTGCTCCAATAGATCACCAATTCACCACAAAATCGTGTAACCTACACAAAAAACAAGTCTATGTTTTCACAACTCAAACATCCACAATAATAACAATGTTATAATATAAATTATACCACACAAATATTCTTATAATTACTAAAAAAATATAAAAAAGTTAAATATATTTTTTGCGGGTAAAGTAGGGTAGGAATGCAGAAATTGGTGAGTTTTCCGCATTCCTACCCGATTTAATCGGAATACCAAAAACTCTTCCGCATTTCTACTCGATTTTTATGGCTAGCCGCTCAGTAAGATAGGGTAGGGTACAAAATTGTGGTCAATCGAAAATTTGAATACCCATACGGACTTGTTAAGGCATTGAGGTCCCTTGTCGGAGGTCGGATAATGGGTGTGAATGCCTGACTCTTGCTGTATTTCTGCACATATAGTTTGTCGTCCTTCTACATGTATGGCCACCAGTATCCCTAAGATATGGCCTAATGAGCCAGAGACCAACCACTCATGTGGTTTCCGCATATTCCTTTGTGGACATCGTATAATAATGGTTGAATTTTATCTTCAGCAACGTGCAAGAGGTACGACCCTCAGAATGACCTTCGGTATAACTTTTGATCTGGAGAAACCCAAAACCTTAAGATTTTGAGTCTAACCTTTCTGACTTTCCTACGACACTCGAGAAGTTCCCAATCTCTAGATATTTCACTATGAGGTCCATCCAATTTGGCTTAGCTTCGCTTGATATGTTTGGAAGGACCTCAGCCAGTGTTAAATCAAGTAGGCTNAGACTATATCCACTTCCCACTGAACAAAAGGTCACGGACTGGTAGGGGTGTTCACCCTACCCTATAAGTAAAAAATATAGTCTTTTGTCTTTCTATTCGATACTTTGTAGAAGAATTTTTTCTTGACCAAACGTACCTGATCAGGTGTAGTATTCCTACCCGACTTC